TCCATGCTCTATAAAGTTACATTTTTGAGGTTTCAACTCTGAAGTAGGAGCTCTGGGTCGAAGCCAAATTACGGGTGCGTGATTTATTCTGGTTTTCTACTGAGAAAAATCGGGACAGTATTTTGCGCCGGGCAGCCGGCCATGTACACGAAATGGTACGCCCAGTATAGCAGCGATCTATTCATGTTTTATGTTTACAATTGTGCAAATTTTTTTTACAGAAATTTGATCACATATGCTTAAAAATATTGTTATACTGATGTTAAAAAATATTTTAAGACACTGAATCGCTGGCTGTGTACGTACGCCGCGTAGCGTGCCAGACATTGGCCGTGCAAGCCTATAGAATGCCCCACTTGCGACATAAATTTCTGAGGCTTATCGTGCGCATCGTGCGTATCCACAATTATTCCCATCGTAAACATAGTCACTGGGATCTGAAATGCATACATACAGGATAATTTCCCTTCTTCAGCGGGAGTTTTGTTTATGTTTTGATCGTACACGTCAAACTGCCACGCTGGTCTACGCTGCGCGCTGGTCTCGGCTGCACTTCCGGGTTCCATAAATCGACACCATAAATCGACAAAGAAACAAATATTTCCCCCCAAATTTATATTAATTGTGCACTTTTTCACTAGATGTGGCTATGCAGTTCTGGAAAACAGCGTTTAGTGCATATTTTCAAACAGAAAAATCGCGTCCCTGCGCCCTTCATGTTGCCGCCCGGCGATCTCAGCTGAAGCGAACAACCAATCAGAGACGCGTAACGCGGATACGTCATGCAAGATTTGCATACCGCCCGCCCACCGCTTCTGCTGGCTGCTGCCATGCTAGCTACGCGCCGTACTTGAAATAAATTGACGTGTATCGCCGTATTTCTGGAAATAAATGCCGCGACACGAAGATCTAGCGCTGACTCGGCTTGCACCCAGCGTTCAGCGTCACCCGCGCCATTACCCCCGCCGTCATCCCGCGCCGTCATTGCTGCGCCGTCACCCAACGTTTTTATCGGAACCAGACACCCCTCTGTTTGACCCCTTTTGAATGGTAAGACCCAAAACTGAAACCTCCCCATTCCTTAACAACATGGTAAATTCCATTTTCAGCATGGCGGGGGTGTCCGGAGCACTTAAAAACCTTTTATTTCCACGCCCATAAACACATATGCAATTAAACAAAAACGTTCTGCATCATCTGCAGCCCAACAGCAATACGTATACCGAACCACAGACAAATCCGTCCAGCCGATCGCGAGAAACAGCTGCTGACAGAAATGTTTCGAACAATAGTAAAACCTCTTCGCGGAAGGATATCTCCTTCCCCGGAGTTAATAAATAAATAAATAAATAAATGAAAAAAAAGAAGGATGGATGGATTGAATGAATGAATGAATGAATGGAGGAGTGAGTGAATAAATGAATGGATGGATGAATGAATGAACAAACGAATGAATGAATAATGAAAGAAAGAATGAATAAATGAAAGTCCCTTGTTGTACTTTCATGATCTTAAAAGCCAAGTACAGGTTATGGTGATAAAGTAGAAGTAAAATTTGTAAAGTCGTAAAGTCGTAAAATTTGTAAAGTCGTAAAGATATAAAATCGTAGAAATATGTTTATATGCATACAACACAAGAATGCTCACGTCACTTACGTCTTTTTCCTCGATTCCATCATTTGTCGTGTTGCAAAAGTGGCTGAAAAAATGAAACAGAAAGACGAACAGTAATCAATGTGGACATATATATAGTTGATTACATCCGCACACATACATGTAGCCTCTACCAGGCTTGGGGAGGCGGCTGGAAAGAGTAGAAAGCGGCCAAATAGAGAGATAAGCATGCCAAGGGAGTTTGTCCGTTGAGAGAACATTTCGCCGCACAGCCGCCTCCCCAAGCCTGGTAGAGGCTACCGCGCGCACACACACACAAACACACACACCCACACACCCACACACACACACACACACACACACACACACACACATAGATAAAGAGGGGAGGAGGGAGAGAGAGAAAGGCAGAGTAACAAGGATATGTATTTTACTGATCCTACTCACCAATGCCATCCGCCGGGCTGTCCGTTTTCACCGTTGATGATTTTTGACAGGTTCGACAAGACTGCAGTACACTCAGCACAACTAGGTGGCGCTCTTGGCATAACTGTAGTCTCGTTCTCCAGACAGCTGAGGCTCAGCAACACCACATTGCCGTCAGCCTGGTCAAATTAGATATCAATCGGTTTGTCAGATGTTTATTTTTATAAGTAGGGAATGTGGCACTACGGCGTCAGTGTCGCACTACTGTGGCGTCGGTGTCACACTACTGTGGCGTCAGTGTCGCACTACTGTGGCGTCGGTGTCACACTACTGTGGCGTCGGTGTCGCACTACTGTGGCGTCGGTGTCACACTACTGTGGCGTCGGTGTCGCACTACTGTGGCGTCGGTGTCGCACTACGGCATTATGTGTCGTACTATGATGGCGTCAGTAATATGGAGAGTGAGACAGAAAAAAAAAACAATCCCAAAGAAGTTATACAGCATTAACATTAAATATTCTCTGTAAAATAATCCTACTACTGTGGCGTCAGTGTCGCACTACACTGGCGTCGGTGTCGCACTACTGTGGCGTCAGTGTCGCACTACTGTGGCGTCGGTGTCGCACTACTGTGGCGTCGGTGTCGCACTACGGCATTATGTGTCGTACTATGATGGCGTCAGTAATATGGAGAGTGAGACAGAAAAAAAAAACAATCCCAAAGAAGTTATACAGCATTAACATTAAATATTCTCTGTAAAATAATCCTATGTCGTCTAACCTTCTTGCGTTTCACCATCTTCTTCTCCCGGTTGGCAGCTCCGCTCTCCTGCTCTGCCAGGCTGTTCTCCAGCTGCAGCTGTTCCTCCTCGCTATCAGAGCTGTCACTGCTGTCATTGTTCCACTGCTGCTGCTGTTGCTGTTCCTCCTCGCTGCTGTCGCTGCTGTCCCTCGCGGAACCCCGCCCCAACAGACGCCCGAACAACCCCAGAGCTCCAGAGGAGGAGGTTTTCTTCTTACTCCTCATCTTCGGCCTTGCAGCTGGCAGCGAACGGGGCTTTTTTCCTACAACAATCAGCATTTTGTATGTGAGTGAGTATTGTTTTGTCTCTCCTTCTAGTTTTCTACATGGAAAGGTTTGATAAAGACACAAAAATAGGCAGGTGCTCATACTCAGAAAAAGAAAACATAGATTGCAAACATTCCTGTATCTGTTCATGGATTTCTAGGACTTCTAACATCTAACCTGCCTCTTGTTATATTCTGCCTGACCCTGAACTTGATGCCATGACGGCAATGAAAAGCGGTCAGGAGACCGATTTAAGTGTATCACGAATAATGCTTGTACATCCTACTATGATTTTTACCACGTCGAAGTAAGCTAGTCACCTTAGTGTCCTTAACTACAGAAATTCCCATAGGGCGAAAACTACCTTCGACCCAACATTTAACGAAAACTGGGTTTCGCTCAGGTGCAGTATGTACAACTACCGACCTTTTTTCTTCGGTTTAGCCTTGCCATCTTTCTTCTGCAGTTTGTCCTGAGGAATGTCGTCTACCGTGATCAGTTTGCGGTAGGAGTCCTCGATAGTCGGGTCGTAGTCTTCAATAAAGTCTCCTTGCACAAAGCGCACACACAGGCTGGACTTCCCGACACCCCCTGCGCCTAGCATGGCAAGCTGACCAAAACAAAAACATGACCATGTCACCAGTCTTATGACAAAAAGGACTAAACGTTCTTGCCAACACTGACTAAATTGGGACTTACCCAAATTTTCGGCCGACTCCGTCAGCCTTGTTCACGGAATAGACCCTTCTACTGCAGCTTCCGGGACGTGGCGTCGGAAACACGTGATCGCAGCAGAGGCTCGTATGTGTCAGATAACCTGTGTCGCCCCCCGTCTCTGTTCAGTGTTGGACGGTTGACCTGAATGTACACCGCCAATTTACTCAGTGTTGGCAAGAACGTTTAGCTCTTTTTGTCATAATGAAGTATACCGACACAGATGAACTATTATGCTAATGTCACCAGTCTATAAATTTTTCTGCACAGTAGACAGACGAAAACAATACCTTCGTTTTTTCATAGAGGTAACAAATTTGACTGTGGACTCCCCACACTAACCTTGTAGTTCTTGCCATCCCTCGGAGTCTGCCGGATGACCTCGTGGAAAGCTTCCTCCACGTTCTGCCCCGTCTTGGCGGACGTCTCCAGATACGGCAGGCCGTGCTGCAGCGCCACCTGCCGACCTTCCTCGGAAGTGACCTGACGGCTGGCGGACAAGTCGACCTTATTCCCACACAAAACCTGCACAGAACATGAAGAGGATAGTGATCCCAAAGTGATCTCGATACAGTTTCAGCTAATTACAGAGATAATCTCCCACTGGTCGTAACAGAGAAGACAGACGCTATTTATAGTATTTACAAGTTCATTATACCGGGGAAATTCCCCTAGCTCTTCAGTTCCACCGGCAAAATGACCAAAAACTGCCGTAAGTTTCGTGAACCATTACGCTTATGTGCAAGGCGCTACACTGAAGTGAAATACACAGCTGTACAGCTTTTATTGTTGTGATCTTTATCTGTCGATATTATAGCTCATGTTGCGCGAGTTTTTGGTCAAATAAACTATTACCAAAGGTACGTGCGTTTGCATGGAACATAGGTCGGAATTAGGACCCCTCCCGTTACATTTTTTTGAAGTTCTTAGAGACAGAAGCAAGCTCCCCCTACCGCCGGCACGTGATCTGCACCCTTGATCCTGAGCAGCCATTGGTAGATAGACCCGGCCTGGTCCAGACTGCCGCGTGACGTCACGTCAAATATCAGGATAAAGGCGTTCCCAGTGCGCATGTACTACAGAACGGAGACAGGGACACAAGACAAGTCAAACACACATAAATAAAAAAAAATGATAATTTACAAAGGCTAGAAGATCGACAACTTCTGACGAAAATTTATTTTTTTCATCAACACACACGCACGCACGCACGAACGCACGCACGCACACACACACATACACACTCACACACACTCACTGACACACACACACACACACACACACACACACACACACACACACACACACACACACACACACACACACACACACACACACACACACACACACACACACACACACACACACACGTACACTCACATACACACACTGTCATACATACATACATACATACATAATGTTCGATTAGAGGAATTGCCTATTAAATCTTTATAGACTTGAATGTCAAAATCGCATCTCGAACCGAATACTGCCTATTGAATCCAGAACCGCGCCTATCTATATCTTTATATATGTGCCTGTGTGGAACATGGTTGAGATTCTGGATATTCTCCATATCCAAGAACGTAGACTTGCCCCAAGCACGGTTCTGGATACGCATGGAGTATAGTTCTTGATAAATTACTTTCTACAAAAGAAGGAGGAGGGGTGCGGGGGAAGGGGGGTACCTGGTCTCTCATGGCGGAAAACTCCTCCTGTCCGGCCGTGTCCAAGATGTCCAACATGCATGTCTGCACACCGAAAAGATATTTAGAGGCATAAGTTTACAGTTATGCGAGATTTTCCCACATATTCAGATTATTGGTCAAGTATACACCTATACAGTATTTGAAATAGGGTCATAATGTTTCGTTAATATTCACGTACGAGAACGTTTCTTAGCCTCTACCAGGCTTCGGAAAGCGGTGGAAAGAGTAGAAATTGGCCAAATACATAATATTGCCAGGGGGAGTTCGTCCACACTAATATAAGGCCTCGGGAAGAAATGTGTTTCCTGTTTCAGTCCTGAAAAAATTAGGGTCGGTAGGTACGGACTTTCTTTGTCTTTTTTTCTTTTTCTTTTTTACATTGACGATATCTTAAGTGATCCAACTTATACAACACAGTTTAACAAAGGAAATCTTGTGTGTCAATGTTGGAAAACCGATTGTACAACGTTTCATCACTCAGGTGTCAGGTCATGGAGCTAGAAAAGGTCGATCAGCTCGAAAAATTGATATATCCCTTGCAGGAGTCCACACAAAAAAGATAAGGGTCGGCAGTTTTTCTAGAGTCGGTCGGAAAACATGAAACACAACATTTTTCTAGGCCTAATAGAACAGTTTGCTGGTGCAGACCAACTCCCCTGACATATCATCTGTCTATTTGGCCAATTTCTACTCTTGCCGGTCACTTCCCGAAGCCTGGTATGCGAGGCTATGAAATTCTTACCTTCCCATCATCCCTACCGCTGCCCCGACGCTTCGAGAACGCTCGGACTTCTTCGGCCTCGTCCACCGACTCCTCGCTCTCTTCCGAGTGATTCCGAAGATACACGAACTCACTTCCGAACTGCATGTCGCCGCTATAGCTGTTTGTACGTCTGAGGTAAACAGTGTTTAATACCATTAGAAATTTCTCTGGTACAACAGTATATCAAACATTAAGTATATTATCCTGTCCATGTCACCGATCTTGTGTCCTTGGGAAAGGCACTTTACACGACTTTCCTCACTTCACTCAGGTGGAAATGAGTACCTAGCTTCGGTTAGGGACGTCCCTCGGATTGGACGTTGAATGGAGGTCCCGTGTTTGGGGAAAGCCACACCCCACGCACGTTAAAAAACCCACCGCACTTATAAACAAGAGTAGGGGACCTTCCCGGTGTGAGTGGTTCAAACCTTACAGTCCGGTCTTTCGCAGCTTGTACATGTACAAAACTGGTGTGTTACGCCTAAGGCGGTTTACCGGTTATGCGAAACAAACAAACAAACAAACAAAAACAGAAGAGAAAATGAACACTATTTCGTAGTAGAATGTCGACTGTACAACAGTGAGAGAGTTGAACTTAATTAACACAAATTATACACTGACAACATCAATGTTTCCCAACTTCATTAAGCACCTAAGTATTATTATAAATACAGATAAATTCCTAATGTCGTGTAAAGTGCCTTTCCCAAGGGCACAAGATCGGTGGCATGTCAGGACTCGAACCCAGGAGCTCTTGGTTGTTGTTTGTAACGTGGCTTGTTATGACAGAGCTTTAATATGTCAGCGGCTAATATGGGCCCTGAGTCATCGGAGCTGGAGGACACAATAGCTTGTTTTGAAAACGGTGTGCAGCGAACCATGAAAACCTATAGCCTACGTAGCCGGCTTATAGAACTGGGGGTTTGGTGATCTTCGACTGTTTTCTTATTAGCAAAAAATGGGGAAATTCAACCAGGCCGGCTGTGTTGTCTATATGCAATCAGAAAATAGCACATAAAAGCTCCAAAAGACCCCGAAGACCCCCAAACCCCCCAGTTTTTGGCATGCTGTGGAGGCTACAAAACCTACCATACACCTAAGCACCTAGTATGTTTGTATTACTGTGTTAACGTTAGATAGTTTCGCCCATTGAATATAATTAATATAGATGCTATCTTTACAATTCCTCTTGTTAGTATATGTGTTACAAATAACAATCGGTATGCACTATAACGTTAAAAAGCAATTACACAAATAGATTCTTCCGCTTGAATATAGCACGACTGAATCGTCGGACTTAACAAAAAGGTAAATGTATGTACTAGTATACTGCACTGCAGTCTACATTGTTGAACACTCATGTGCATATATCCTATTACTAAAACTGGCAAGCTTGTCACAGATAGTAAAGATTGACTTAATTAAAGAGCACTTAAACAAGTCTGGTACTTGCCCGGCCTAGTTTACATCTAACGTAACGCCCCTTGGTCTATGGGTTGCATCATAGCTACGTAACACATCGTACAATGTACCTTTGCTCATATCTATTACCAAGAGCATCTAACTAACCTCTTACTACAAATACATGCCGGGGCATGCCTGTTGACTATAATATTGTCAATTGTGATTGTGTGAAACCTAAGCTGACATTTTGTATAGTATTTTGTATCTGACACGGTATGAAACTCACGGTAAATGTTTTCCCGAACAGTCGACAGGACCTTACCGTAACAGATTGTGAGTTAAGTAGGTCATCTCAAACCCTCTATCTGTGTAAAAACTAACGTAAATTTGCGCCAGAGATCGTGGGAATATAAAACAGAACTCACCTATGCCGTAATACTGTGATCAGCCTTGCTTCCGGGTTTGTTTGGCGGTGTCCAACACACCAGGTACCTATATAGCTGACGTCACGGATGTTATTTTAGGAATCGCGCTCCTATTGGTCAGACGGCTTTCAAGGCCGGCTCCCTGATTGGCCAATTATTTCTGATGTCATGTTTAAATTAAGAACTGTAATATAAATACTGGCGCGTAATTTTCTTACTAGCAGATGAACCCAACAAGACTCGAAGCTGTTTTTTCGACTTAAAAAACAAATTTGGGTTAATTGTTTTGGTAAACGTTAATCAAATCTTGCCATGGGGAGTATGGCTAATATAGAGACGTTGAAATGTGTGGTTGTAGGGGACGGAGCGGTTGGAAAGACTTGCCTACTGATGTGCTACGCAACAGGGCAGTTCCCAACAGTCTACGTACCTACAGTCTTCGACAACTATGCAGGTAGGATCTCAACTGTTCTTCTTGCAATAGGACATGTTTAAACACTTGATGTCATGCAAGAACGAATGTACAGTAGACAAACTATGTAATTATGTTTCCAAATGTTTCAAAAAGAGAGAAGAAAGGGCAACTAACAGTAGATGATAGGTAGTGTATAGTATTGTTATATTGTATATATATATTATATGTATAGATACTAGCACTTTGCATTAGAATATAGCGTTCCAGTATGAAATACTCATGTTTTTGCATACTGCATATCCCCTTGTGCATTTAGCCCATCTGGGCAAGAACATGCAATAAAGATTCATATCATATCAATAATCGTACGATTGACGTAAACTCACTTAAATTTTGATATACTCGATGAAGGTTAGACATACATCCAGATAATGAGATACACAAGGAATTGTTACTCAAGCAACTGGATAGATTTTGAAATGTCAGACGTTTCAAGTAGCATATCCACTACTTTTCGTCAGTGATTCTTTGGCATACTCGTGTATATTTCGTTACGGTGCAAACTTGAACGTGTTGTTACGAGAAAGGCTTTCTTAAAAGAGCCTTTTCGGTGATTGTTTTATTTTTAGACTGCTTGAAATTCTACATCAAAATCATACGGCGAATGTTGGCGGTTGCTTAGATTTGAAAGTAGTAACCGTGGCCGTTATCCTTGTTCTTATATGAATGAATGAATGAAGACCTTTATTGTACACACATACCCACTGGGTTAAGTACAGGTCACAAAAAAGGATGGAATATAGATAACGTTACATATACATCGTCAAGTAGCTACAATCAAGTAAATTCGGTTTCTTCTCGTTTCTTAGTAATGTCAAGAACAGATATAGCTATAGATCTATGATATTACGTTACAAGCAAAAATGAAAAGGAAAAAACTAAGATAATCCCACTCATATCCGCTTTTCCTCGACAACGTTTTGTTGGAAATACAATCTGGTATTTTCAAAGTGATTCCATCAATTTGTTCAATCTTCGCACGATGTGGGGTCGATACAAATTAGGTTACGGAGCTCTTACGGCCTTGTAACTAATGTGTGAAAGTACGGCGGCGTTTTTCTTATAGATAAGCTAAGTATCTGCGACACATAGAGAGTAAACACCCAATAGATCATCATACAGTCATCCTTTTCATTCTACCCATAATCCTTTGCTACAAGGTTCCGTAGGTTTACGGCAGTGTCGTAAAACCAAATGCATTTAGCCTTCTCCCTGCTGTCTAACTCCGTAACAAATAGAGTTGGTAGCCAAATGGCTATGTTAGTGTGCTGTGAGTTATCTATTAATTATACTAATAGAGCAATCATTATATGCATTACATGCAGGAAAAACAAATTAAGATTTTGAATAAGATTTGTTGATTTGAACCCAAGGGTCGACCGTGTGTGCTTATCTAGATGGTTTTCATATGTAATGTTATGTAATGTTATACGTAATATATGCCATGTGTAGTATATATTATACAGGACTTCACTGTAAAGTAATGATATGCAATTAAAATAAAAGAATGAATGAACTTTATTGCTTGATAGTTTTACATGGTACAATGTATGGCAACAATAACAATGTGATAGATACAGTATGTCTATTATTAAATCTAATAATTTCCAGATTTTGCCACTCCCTACCAACGCACCAATCCATCCAGGCGTTCATGAGTTATCTTGTTGACAAATGGACAGACAGACGGACAGATGCAACTGAGAAATGTAACCTCCATGACATTTCACGGAGGTAACAAAATAGATAAATACATATAAACTACGGTGGCCATGTAGCAAATCGCTATGGGAAGTGTGAAAGGTGGAATAGCTTCGGTTTCACTAAAACAGACGGTTTTATTATTACCTTCGACAGAAGGCTGTGTTTTTAACTCTTTAACCCTTTCTTTACAGTAAGCATAATGGTGGGCGGTACACCGTACAACCTGGGACTGTTCGACACCGCTGGCCAGGTAAAACTTGTGATATGATAATCTGAAAACGATCTTAATAATATAGCAAATTTGGAAACATTGTTGTCAGCCATGTTTGTTTCCATTCTGATATTTTGTGATGTTAGAAATATAGTGTGCCTTGTGTGGACTGTTTTAGCACCAACCATAAATATCAGAAATGCAGGATAATTGCACAAATATGTTGTAGAGTGGAAGTAAATTACAATCACACACAAAAAATTAGATTATAACATTTCTATTTAAACCCGACAGGAGGATTATGACCGTTTGCGGCCGTTGGCGTACCCGATGACGTCAGTGTTCCTGGTGTGTTACTCGGTGGTTAACCCGGCATCCTTTGCGAACGTGCGGGAGAAGTGGATCCCAGAGTTACGTCACTACGAGCCGTACACGCCCATCGTGTTGGTGGGAACTCAGGTGCGAGAACTTAGTTCTCTTAGGTTTGGCCAAAATGGATACCAGCCCTTCCTTCCTTTCCTTCATTTATTCCTTCATTCCTTCGTTCGTTCGTTTCTTCCTTAGTTCCTTCCTTCATTTGTTCGTTCGTTCCTTCATTCCTTCGTTCGTTCGTTCCTTCCATCCTCCCTCCCTTCCTTCCTTCGTTCCTTCCTCCTTTCTTTCTTTCCTTTCCTTCCTCCCCTCCTTCCTTCTTTGTTTCCTTCCTTCTTCCGTTCCTTCCTTCCCTCATTCCCTTCTTCCTTTCCTTCCTTTCCTTCCTCCCTTCCTTCCTCCCCTCCTCCCCTCCTTCCATCCCTTCCTTCCTCCTTTCTTTCCTTTCCTTCCTCCTTTCCTTCCTTCCTGCCTTCCTCCCTTTCCTTCCTCCCCTCCATCCTTCCATCGTTCCTTCCTTCCTTCGTTCCGTCCTTTCTTCCTTCCTTCCTTTCATCCTTCCTTCAGTCCTTCCTTCATCCATTCAGTAATATTGCGGGAAAAGTCCTCTCGAGATTTTTCTTCACCGTTTTAATCTTAATGTTGATTCTCGATTAATCGACATACCTCCAAGGGTCTAACTTTTCACAACTGAAGTTTTCCCTCTCTCTATTGGCACGGGTTACAGACTGACCTGCGCGACGACCAGCGGACTTTGGAGGAACTGCAGCAGACCGGCCAGCGGCCCGTCACCGCCGCCCAGGGGCAGAAGCTGGCCAAGGAGACTGGCGCGGTGGCGTACGCGGAGTGCTCGGCACTCACACAGAAGGGCGTCAAGAACGTGTTCGACGAGGCCATCATGGCGACGCTATTTGCCGAGACCAAGAGAAAGAGGAGGATCAGGCGTCACAGGAGATGCACCATTTTCTAGAGTGTAGATTAAGAAATTTCTGCTGTGAGGACAATTTTCTAGCCTCTACCAGGCTTCGGGAAGCGGCTGGACAGACAATATTGGCCAATTGATAGGCAGGGACAGCCTCCTATTTAATTCCGGACTTCCAGTTTAATTCCATCTAGATGTACGGTTACTGAGATATGGGAATTAGTACGGAATTAAACTGGAAGTCCGGAATTAAACTGGAGGTTGTTCAGATAACATGCCTGGGGAGTTGGTCCGCTTAAGAGTACAACGACACATTTCTAGGGTTGGTAGCATGCCTAGGAATTTGGGGTTAGAATTCGGTTTGTAACTTTGTATTAGGGTTAGATCTAGAGGTACATGTACTAGGTAAGGTTATTATACGAAGGAATGAGGTTAAGGTTAGATTTAGTCTCCACATCACAATACATGAGTCAAGTCTTACCAGTAATACAGATACAATAAACTTTCTTATACATGGCAACCGTTTTAATGAGTTATTCCAGACTAAATACGTAGTGATACAATAATCGCCAGAGACTACTACACGAGTGCCTTCTAGCGAGATTAACTCAAACTGCAAGTCTATCACGTACGTGCAGACACCAATGCTGGAGCATGAGAGATGATCAAACATATTCTTGACATTTACTTCCTCACTTCTGCTACAAAAATAGGCGCTGTTAACCCAGTGTAAATCTTACCTACCATTAAAACAAACCACTTTTTTTTTTTAAGTTACTAAACATGTGCTTTTCAAACGTAATGCAGTTTTAGGTCCATGCATCTATTTTCTAGCCCGATGTCCAGTCTATCGTGGTCCGGGCGGGCTCTCTTCGGAGCTGTAGTGGTTTTCCCCCGCCCAGATCAACTGGCCGCCCGGTGGGAGTTTGCACCTGTATATAGAAGTTCTGCACGGCAGGAGTCTGGTTAGCCCACGGTGGGCTAATTGAACTCCCCTCGTGCAAAAAAATTCACTACGAGCACCTACAGAGTTGGGCCGCCCCAAAGACAGTCGGCGTAGCCTCTACCAGGCTTCGGGAAGCAGCTGGAAAGAATAGAAATTGGCCCAATTCCAATAGACGCCAAATATCGATGATATGAACAGTTTAAATTTGAACTGTTCTCATAAATCTACTCCCTGGCATATCCTCTATCTACTAGTATTTGGCCTACTCTTTCTATGCTAGCCGCTTCCCGAAGCCTGGTAGAGGCTAGGCCATGCTATCTACTTTTCTATCCTTTGAAATTATTTTTAGAAAGATTAAGAAGGACTTAAAAGCCGTCAGTCAAGCCGTCGGATTTGTACACACGGATAAAGCACAACCCCGCGCCGCTCGTGTTTAAAGATAAGTACGTAATTCTCGGAATATAGGATATTGTGGGCGGCGTTCTCGGAAATAGTGGCCTATGCTTGGGGCCTTTTGAACTGCTTTATTTTAGCTTGTGGGTTTCCGCGTTGCATTTTGAGAAGGCCAGATCTACTTAGCCCCCACAGCATGCCAAAAACTGGGGGTTTTGGGGGTCTTCGGGATCTTTTATGTGCTATTTTCTGATTACATATAGACAACATAGCCGGGCTGGTTGAATTACCCCCGTTTAGAACTGGCATATGGGCTAATCAGAAAACAGCCGAAGACCACCAAACCTCCAGTTCTATAAGATCTACTCTGCAACCAAGGGTTGGGCTTCAGCGTATATTATTTTAGCGTATTTTTTAGGCGTTTTGAAGGCGTTCTTTTTTGTACTGGCCGGTATCTTGCAATGGGTGGCAAATGGATACAGCCTGGCCAATTTGATATAGGCCATATCTAGACAGATTACTCAATGCACCTGCACACAGGAATCTGGCTTCGCTACGGCAATTTTTTTTTGCTTTGGTGTAAGCGGAAACAACATTTACATTCCTTTCAAACGACTGATTGTGAGTTACAGAAGAAAATACGACGGATTTGATCCTCGTGAGTGACTGTAAACAATTACAAAACATAAGATACATCTGAAACAGCATAAAATACAGATCATATATCTTCTCTAGGCTCTCTGCAACAACAGCTTCTTTTTAATATACGGCTGCAAAATTATTCCCTCCCCCCAACACTCACACATACACACACAGAGGTACACAAACAGTCACACACACACAGTCACACACACACACACACACACACACACACACACACACACACACACACACACACACACACACACAGTCACACACACACACAAACAGTCATACACACACAGTCACACACACACAGTCACACACACACAGTCACACACACACACAGTCACACACGCAAACAGGTGTCACTTCTTTTTACACAGCGTTTCCGCTGTCGCCAGTACCGCTGTCGCGAAAATATGCGTGTAAAGTGGACCTTCGATACCGGTAATACTAGTAGGCCACTACGTATACCAGGATAATTTGCAGTCAGCACGTCTCCCCACTTCGATAATTATCTAACCAGCCATTACAGCATTCTACTCCAGTTCAGCAGGCGACCACGCGAGGTTTGATAATTGCCTGTCCCGTGTAAGGTCGTCTGCGACGTTCGTTCGCGCGGGCTTTTCTTCCTTACCGCAGAATGAATTATTTTGACTCACAAATTTTAGATGATTTTCATCTTCTTCAATGTTAGAATTATTATCTTGCCTTAAAGGCATCCAATGCGATTTCAGGGCAGCAAAAATGGAAATATTCTGAATAAGGCAATCTTCGTGATATTGACGCATACTGCTTCACATTGGCACATTTGAGTCAGTATTTCATACTTTGGGAATTCAAAATAATAGAAACAAGCCCAAAGACGAGTCCTTTATTTTCTGGGAGGTACCCTAAAAGTCAGCCCAGGGCCCTTCCAGTAACCATTTTCCGTCAAAATTTTGGGTATTTTTGCTCCATGAGGAGAGTGTGGTTTAAACTCAGTATGAAGATAAGTGACTAGAATATTGGCTTTGAAAAATTGGGGTTTCAAGCCCTAAAAACTGCACTGGATGCCTTTAAAAGTAGCAGCGATAATTTCACATTTGAGGGTAAGATAACACTAGGACTGCGTGTAAAGTTGGGCGTGGCGGATATAAGGTGTATTTTGTCCATGAATGTCTAACACTACACATCTAAACATCAGATCTGACCCGGAAAAGTACATCCAGACTACAGAACTGGTACAAGCCTGGATTTGTCCGTGTCACGAAACGCTAATTATTACATTTGTAGCTTGCTCCAAACCCTTTGTGACAGTCAGGTTGGTTGAAATCCACCCACAAATCCCACAGCAGCACAGCTTAGCGTAGTTTTTGAACGCTTTTCAAAGCCACATTGTGCGTTTTTTTTCTATGTAAAGGCAACAGTGATATCTATGCAATCATGATGTTTTTATGTCTCCTCTTTGGCCGATTCCCACAGGGGCTTATAGGATTTCAAACACCGATGATTCAGAATTCCTGCGACTTAAATCTGATCAAGTTTTGGCGCGTGGCTGGGCAAAAAAGGTCATCCAAGGATACTTTTCATCCAAAGTGACTTCATGGAAGTAAAACCGGATGTTCTGATCAGTCAATTTTCTGATAATTCTTTTAATGTAGTAAGTTTAAGCAACCCAATAAGAGAGAGAGAGGGAGAGAGAGAGAGAGATACAGAGAGAGAGAGATACAGAGAGATACAGATAGACACACACACACAGAGAGAGAGGGAGATACAGAGCGCACACAGAGAGAGATACAGAGAGAGACACACAGAGAGAGAGAGGGGGGGGGAGGGAGAGAGATACAAAGAGACACACACACACACACAGAGACAGAGAGAGAGAGGGAGGGAGAGAGATACAGAGAGAGGAAGAGACAGAAACATAGAGAGATACAGAGATACAAAGAGAGAGGGAGAGACCGTGAGAGAAACAGAGACAGAGAGAGAGGGAGAGAGAGAGAGAGAGAGAGAGAGAGAGAGAGACAGACAGACCAAAAACAATACCTACATCTTTTTAATTTTTATTAAAAGGGTAATAAGGTAATAAGCTGGAACCTAAAACTCTACTTGGAGATCTAAGATTGTATCTAGTCAGACTACAATGTACACCATACTCCTACAACCTGAGGCCAAGTCACCACGACAGCGAGAGATTTTTATCGTGTGACAACATCAGTAGTTCCGTCATGATATGTTTGTCTGGCTTCAAATATACTAGCACAGGTCAACGTCCCTAGATTATTCCATGTCAAAAATGGGTAGGGGTGAACCTAAATTTTCTTTCATTCCAAAACTCAAAAGTAGCAAAAGGACAGCAATACTTGAATCTTAAGAGAGCAAACGAAAGAGAAAGGGGTAGAGAGAGAAAAAATGGAATCTTCTTTCTTCTTTTACAAGAAGGAAATAGAGTAGAACTTGGTGACGTTGTGGTTGCGCAATACGCTGTATTGTATAGTAAATGTTGCGTGACTTGCACTAACAATAGTATAGTACAGTATAGAGCTGAACTGTTGGCTAAATTACCGTCTTTAACATAACTTCCTCCACTTCACCTGTCATCGAACAATGGGGAAAGTTTGGTGTAATCTGATATGGTGTTTTTGGAGTGCTCACACGTGGCCAGACCAAGGTCAATTGTGATCTTTTGTTGTTAGGAAATACAGTCCAGGTCATTGACACAAATCGTCTTGCGATCAAATTTATGCATCAAATTTATAAATAGTGTGAGCTGAATCAAGAAGAATTGAGGGGGGGGGGTACTTTCATACTGAGGCCACACCAATTTGATTTCTTGGTTCTCAGACTTTTCAGAAAATAATATGAAGCGACAGGCCGAATAAATAAATAAATTAAAAGAGATGTAGGCATTCTATGATAGCCCCAAATGCAACGTTAGGAGCCATGAAGTCAACATACCAGGCTGGTTTGTAATTCAAACAATTAATTTCAAACTTTTGATCAAAACAATAAATCAGAGTGTCTTGTCTCCTCCATCCACGTTCCTGCATGGCAACAGACATCTTTTCCTATTTTCGGAATGTTGGCCACTGTTAGATGGGGGCATCAAAATTTATTTTTCACCCAATCATGCAAAAATCAATGCGCGCGTTGATGTCATCCATAAACATTACTTGCTGTGGCCTTTGATATGATTTCAGCCGCACCCTGAACTACAAGTTTGTTCAGTCCTGACGCCTGCCCTGTCTCTGTTTGAAAGGCTGACGCAACCGCCTGTTGTTGTTCAGCACATACCGGGCCTGACTTTTGGTGACGCGCCAACTCACCCAGAACCCAGGTGACCCCGAACGACACCTTCTCAAGTCTTATCACAACAGGGGTCAACGTCCGAACAGCTATATGCTAGCTTGAACGGCTGACTTTAGGGTATGGCCATCTTGATTTGATTATATGGATGCCTTCGTGCCATGACCTGGGAACCCCAAAACTGATGCGACCGTGCGAATGAAAAAAAAAAAGTTTGGGCAAAAAAGGTTGGTCTTCATGATAAAATCTACGTACGTGGTCAATGACTTAAAACTACGAAAGGCCAAAGGTACAAGTTCAACAAGGCCTCATCGGGTCAGTTTTAATCGTTCAAAACCCTTTTTTCACCGTTCAAAACTAACTTTTCACCTTGGCATCCTACGACATTAGTGTTGTTTTCCAATATTTTTTTTTTGCAATTTACGGCATATATTTGCTCATTTTACATGTACTTTGGTATATAGTCGAAAACCTATTTTTGAAACGGTCGAAAATTCATGCGCGTGTAGATGCCATCCATATGATTAAAACAACATGGCCTAATCTCCAAGCCTCCTCCAAGCCTTCCTACGGGGGTCCGGAGCATAGAATTCGACAAAAAGGCAAATAATTGGCCAGGAGAGGGTTAATGAGAGAGAGAGTCTATGGGAGGGTTAATTTCCCCTGGCAAATTATTCTCACTATTTGGCTAAGTTTGTCTGCTTCTTATCTCTTCCCTCGTGACCTCAATGAAAAGTGACCTACAGGACGATTTGGCCTTCTCAAGAATGGTTCAAACTGCAATGGACCAAGGACTAAGGTTAGAGGGAAAAGCAAGCTAAAAAAGATTAGAACGAGACCTTCTCGCTCTAACCTCCTTGAATTGAGTATGTTTTTATACTACTAGGTCCAAAGAATTCCAATTGTATATGTGCGTAGTCAAAGCAATAGACAATTTAGAATCTGGACCCCCTGGCGGATTTCTATTGTCCTGGAGCAGAATTGATTTAAAGCATTTTGTGGTATTTCCTGCATGTCTATGACTATGTCCCTCTAGCTCTAGCTGACCGTGTTTAATGTCGTTTTTTTTGGTCTTTGAAATTCGTCGCTTGCCTTTGGCTTTTTGTAACTGTAAGGCGTTTATTAGTGTTTTGCCAGCATGTCTATTTTGTCAGCTTTCATTTCTCTCCAAATCATACCCAAACTATAGCGGATAAAATAGAGAGCCCAACAAAAACGTACAAATCGAGTCCAACATCTGCTTGGAGAGAACCCTTACTTACACATATACGCCATGACTTTTAATACGCAATGCTACGATCACGCCATGTCTGAAAAACAAAGGCGCGCCGCGCCATAATAAACAATTCTAGATGATTACTGCGATATTTATAACAAGATACACAACTGTTATCCTCACCCCATATCCACACGCCTACATAGGCAAACTCATTATACGTCACTCAGATATCAAAGATTGCTGTACTTTGATTCGTACGGTTTATTGTAGTTATCAACATCTAACCTTTACCTTTGATACTAGTTCCGGCCGAATGTTTGCCAACCGACTTCAAAACCCATTATCCTAAGAAAGGGGGGTATTTTGTACAGCAAGGTGCTTTTTATCTTAATCGTTTGGTACTTAAGGTTGGAGTATTTTTGTCTTGCAAATCGGGGTGGTACAGAGTTAAAGTTCGCGTGGTGAAAAAACACGTGGCATCGGCGGCCTTGAAAGAAGGGCTATGTTTACTCTCGTTGACGTCAGGCGATGGCGGACAAACAAGATCCCCTTTCGGAAAGTCTTTGAAAACATTTCAGCGCGAGTCGTCGGTAGCCCTGGATATTCCACGTTTACACAGCACTTTTTAAAGTACAAATCTGTGCCAGAGACACTCAAAGATATCAGATTCACTCTATATTTAACTGTGTGTACATCAGTATTGGTACGGATTTTGATACATATCTAAGTGTTTTTGAAACGTGTGGTACTAGTATGTAACCTTGTGGGAGTGGCTTTGTGCGTGTTGACCTATGTTCATATATATGCGCATACACGTGTGACTGTTCTTTGACTTTTGCACACTTGCAAGAAATTAAAAACGCACTGTCCAGGTATACGAATGAAATAGTTTCTGGTGTGACCTCGAGCGGGAAAGACGTACACAGACCACAGCTTAAAAAGTGTCAATTTTTTTCCCTAAAAACCGTACGTCTACTGCTACTGCATATAATGAAATTTCAGGGTGGCAAAAAAAATACTCTAGATTAGTAAATATGTCTGATATTGACATTTACTGTAAATTTTTGTCATCATTTCATACTTGATAACATTTAAGGTAGCCCGCCAAAAAAGACAACAGCAGTCTCTTAATTTTTGGTACCACCAATAAATACATGTAGCTAGAACCAGCCTACGATACGCGATACGAAACAACCAACCGTTTTCCGTCAGCGACATTACATTTTGCCTCACAGATATCAGAATGCTTAGCCTAGTGCAGTTTTTTTATCCTCCTTGATTTGATTCAACCATGCACTGAGGGCGGTTTGAACCTCATCGATTAAACTAACTGCATTAAATTACGAGAAAATTGACTTAGAAATGAGGTTTCATTGTCCTGAAATAGCTTCGGGTGCTTAACGCATTGAGAAACTGGAGATTTGGCATTGTTTTCTTTCGCTATCTCACTCAAGATGATAGTTGAGCTAAAAAAATCCCCCCTCGGACACCTTTAGCCTTGGCGCAGCTGGTTTCCATTCACTGTGATGTCAAATTCTTTACCGAGTCAGTGGTACGCATCGTTTGGAAATGACGTCACGCAACCCTGGAGTCGGGCACGCGGGCGCGCAAATCAGAACCAGCGCACAGGGTCACGAACTCCCGCCGAGCACGGGGAACCTACAACCCGCCTGGCGTCTGGTTTAACTTCCCTCAACATCTGGAAAAGCTTTACCCTCTCTCTAAATATAGCCAGGCGACAGACGGTGTCTGAAAATAGCACGCTGTTTTTGGTGGGCCCCAAGGTGAAGAACCGATCCCGGTCCGACAATCTCCAGGTCTGGGGGACTGGTTGAACGGTTTGCGTCAGCCTTGGGGATACTTTTACGGTCTGTTTGGTCTGTATGAACCCCCACGGAAGTTTCAGATGGGTGGAAACGTCACTCACTCAGGGCAGGGTCAATGGAGAAAGGAGACTATAAATAGACCTGTCGAGATGACGCGCCCTGATTGGCTAGACGATACCAAACCATCCGTGGGGGTGGACAGGTTGAATAACTTAGAGATGGCGTCATAGAAAGTATTGTGGTGAGAAAAACAATGCCGTCATTTGGGCAAGTTACGTATTAACTATACTCTGGAGTAATTGTGTCAGAGTTTCAACGGAAAAGAATATATTACTTTCATGCAGGGCTTTACCAAAATTCAAAATACTTTTGCAGCGGCAATAAAATCAAATGATAAAAGAAACTATGCCATTAACTCAACTCTTTTACGTTTATTGTTCGTCAAAATGGTCCATACTTTCATATTCAGTCCAAGAAAAACGTGATATTAACATATATGGAAAGACTGTCCAGCCTATTAAAATACGATATTATATTAAAGATCGACTGGTTCGTAACTTTCGTACCGTGAGTGTACAAGTAGTTACGTAACGTTAGATAATTTCTTACTAGGAAACGGGTTCCTTTATTTTACCCGGACCACTATATAGTCATAGAAGATAAGAAACTGTGACGATATTTCATTTTCGGTGGGACAGAAATAAACGTGCCCCGCAAAGTAACCTGAGTACGAGGAAAACACCCCCGCATAAAAAGTATGGTTCATAAATAACCATAAATATCGGTTTATCCCAATTTTTGCTCCATTTTTCTGGTTTCCTGTAGTCTCTACCATTTCAGGGCATCAAATTTCTCAGTTTTCTGTCTTTTTGTGCGTTTTTAGTGTCAGATTTTAGAGTCGGAAGGTGTTTTGTGTTGTTTTGTTAGGACTAGACCTCCCCACCGGAAGAGTCCATTCTTGCCTCCCCCTCCACCCCCGTCCCATGATTCAGTAGTGTAGATGGCGGGACTCGCCAGCTCGACCGCCGCAGCGCCTGAAGTGTCGTAACGGCTCGGGCCTTCCCTCGCCCTGTCGCCGCCAGGACTGCCTCTTCCCCGCGGGGAACACACCGGGAAAGCCTGTGCGATCGACACCACGACATTTCAGCGCGGCACCCCCGATCCGAATGGGTTGATACACCGAGAAAATTCGGTAGGTCTTCTCTCTCTTTTTTTTGGGTCGTGCATATCCTCTCTGTGTACATATCCGTTCATAGTTGCTTCCTGCTCTGAACACGATTCCCTACGCATTTTACACCGATTCTCTCGGTTTTCCTCCAAGAAAACGGTCATTTTAAACTCATTTTTACCGGTATGATAGGTTCTAGGTGTTGTCAAGTGTTGTTTTGGTGTGATCGCGGTAGAATTTGATCGCTTGAAGCCGCGGAGGGTTAGGGGGAAATATCTTTTCCGCGGTAGCTATGTGTGCCCGGACACGCAAACAAAAATTTTCAACGCTTTGTCTCTCTTCGCTCTGCCGTAAACATTCCTTGCAGACATTTGAGGCGAAGGACAGACGTTTACCCTAGATTTGTGTCAGTAGATAGTCGGGAATTTCCGCAAAGCGAAGGTCGTAAAAAGACGACATTCTTGCCCGATGTGTGGGACCGGAAAGAAAGGCCCTCTTGTCTTAGTTACGTAATGCATACCCCGTTTTGTCTCTTGTTATTTTGGGATCTGAATCATTTTCATTGTCTGGAAAAACAAGCAACGGAAATCTTGGGCGAGAGAACAACTTAAAAGCGTGAAAAGACGTTGTATAGAGTGTTTTTTGCGGGTTTTCAGGCGACCCAAACTGTAGTATTTACATAGACTCAAATTCCTTACCCTGTCGTTTATGTCAAGTTGTAAGGGTGACGTCATCACGTGAGCTAACCGGAAGTGATGTCATCATATCTAGGGTGTCTAGTGTAAAGTCTATATACACAAAACCTCTTTAAACAGCCTTAATTCTTTAACCAAAGTGTTAATATTATTTTTCAAAAAATCTAAGTAATAAAAAGAAATGCTTGGATTTTCTGAATGGTCCAGCAGTATTTGTTGTCAGTGCGAAATAGGGTTTTTTCATTCTCATGAATAATGTATTTTGCATAATTTATGTCCACAACACTTGCATATTAATGTTTGTTGGGGGATGAAGTCATAGTATGGTTGTGCCAACGTCCTGTGGGTTGGTTATATAATGCTGTGATATTTACTATAGGTTATATTTGAGTTCTGTTTATTTAGGAATACATCATACACGGAAATGAAAATATTGGTACATGTATGAATTGAAAGCAATTTTTGTGCTCTCATATATTGTATTATTTCTATCTTCAGAAAAATTTAAGAGAAATGTACTTATGTTATATGACATAATTATGTATTATACCTGTTATATGTTATATTTATTTTGTGATAACTAGTTTATTTTTTAATGAATGTGAATCATTTTATGTTTTTTCTTATCATCAGTGTTTTTTTTTAGCATATCATTAGTTAGAAAAGCCATACTTCCTTTTGAAAGAAAGCTACTTTTTTTAATTATACCCTTAGGATTTGAACTTATTGCTTGTTGTTACATTTTAACTTAGTGACAAACTTTCAAATGTACTAGTACAATGAAATAGTATAATCATATTTGTAACATACTATTTTGATAGTGAAAGACAGGATACTTCTACCAAATGCGAGAAGAAGAAAACTACTGTGTGAGAATCCCCTAAGGTACCACTAGAAAAGCCTGTTATACTAGGCTAGTCTGCTCTATTGTTTGTTTTAGAGCTTTGGGGTCAGGCGTTTAGATTATTATCAGTTCATTGCCCTCCTTCACTTTACCAGTACCTACCTACAATACAAATCTTTCAATAGACTCATAGTTTTATCATGTTCACCGTTTTCTTGTTTTCTTCGAGCCTAATTGTGAACAATTTTTCTGTCTTCCAATGGTTTTAACTTTTGTTTTAAAATGATACCTACATTTTTTTTACTGTACTGTAGTACTGTAATTAAAGATTTTATAGTTTTTGCCCAAATGGTACATGTAGCTCTTTTTCTGCCTATCTCAATTTTAAAATTAGAGATATAAAAAGTCTACACTACAGTACAGCTTGAATAGATCTTGTGTTTTGGTCAGTTGATTTTTACCAACTGGCTTACACTAGTCACATTAACGCATACTCAGGTGCATGCATGCGTAACATCACAAGGCTCACAGTTGTTAGTCATGGCGCGTCAGAAGATAGAGTTGCCTCTAGGCCTGGACATTGTTCAACAGTGTAACAAGGCAGGTGTTTGATTTATACTGTGAAAGATACAATGTATGGCGTGAAAGATGAAGGGTTTGGGGCAGCCTTGGCGGCGGGTACAGTAGCGGACATTAGGGCTTCTTCCCACAAAAAAAAATGTATCGCTTAGGCCACACCAATTTAATTTCTTGGTTAACGGATTCGCCGCTTCATTTTTTTCTGATTTGCAAATAAAAATAAAAATTCAGAATCAACTGCAAAATGCTCATGTTTTGCCGTGAACAGTTGAAAACAGCCCTTTTCATACTTCTTGTTAAAGTCATTCCATCTTTCAATGCAGTGGTATCATTAAAAGTTCAAAATTCATTGTCAAAATTTTGAACCAGCCTGGTGTGTTGACTTCATGGCTCCTATCGTACCATTTTGGGCCATAATAGGATTGCCTAGGCCTGTTTTTATTTTCATTTTTTTTTTCGCCCGCCCGCTACATTATTTTTCTAGAAAAATCCGTTAACCAAGAAATTAAATTGGTGTGGCCTTATGAACACCAGCGTCTGGTACCTAGGCTATATAGTTCCCAATAGTGCTGTGTACCTAAACCCACATTCAGGTCCAGGTCCGGATTCAAGTCCAGAGGCTTAGGTTCAGGTCTGGCCCTAAACCCAGGGTATATACAAAATACAGGACTTCTACAGGTAATCATACCCCAATGAAAAATTGGGCATCTTTACCAGAAGATTTTGTAGTGAGCACTGCACTACCAGGGTTTAGAATAGAAGTTGTTTGCATGTCTGGGTAAAACTGTGGCCACATAATTTACAGAGGCCGACACTTGACGATGCCCAGTGGCAATGTTTTCTTCATTTTGCAACCCAAATTTTTTACTATTGAAGATTTAAGGTAACTTAGAACAAAAAGGGGAATTAAAGGGGAATTTCACATGATTTTTTTTGTAAGTCCGGAACTACATAGTTCCAGATGTTCAGTTTTTTTTTGGATTTGAACCTAAACATTTTTACAAGTCTTTTACATTCTTAAAATTCAGGTAGCTATATAGCACACTGGGCTACCTAGGTTAAAAAAATAGGTTGCCTCAAGAAGTAAAATTTGGTTGCCCGCGGCAACTGGGTAACCAGGTATTTTATTTGTACGCTGTAAAATTTCCTTCCCTAGACTTGTTCAGTTGTTGATATATGCATCAGGAACACAGCAGACAAACATCTGTGTACATGTGTTTTTAATACCCAATGGTGTAGATTGTTGTTCCAAGAAATAGCCTGAAGCTATGAATCTGTTTTGATGTTGTGTTCTCGGAAACACCTCCGCTGTGCTTTGAATATTGAACAACAAGCCATTTGATTTCTGAGATTTCATCAATGTCTTTCATAAAGGAAGGATTTTTTAAAGGTTAAGGACCTCTGAAAGAATTTCCTATATTTTACATTAAAAAAAAATAGGTGCACTGGTGCACCTAACCTAAAAAATTAGGTGCACAAAAATTTTTGGGGTGCACCATACACAAGAAAACTTAATTACAGATCTTACTGCTACTCTTCTTTCTAATCTTGAAACTTCAAAATCTTACAGAACTACTACAACAAAGATTTTATTATTTTTCTGACAGATTCCAAGAATATCCGGTATATTATTGGGCGCTGATTTCATCCATAAAAATTACTTGCAGTGACCTAAACTAGTCTACACAAGTTCATGGTACAGATTTTTTTAATTACTATGACTTAACGACTTCCAATAATGCTTTTGTGGTTATAAAAATAGATCAGAGTCTAGACTACGAATACACAAGTCACACTGTAAGACTACTTTAATTTACATCACACACACACAGACATAGCAAGTACCCTCCATGCAGACATTAAAAGTATCCCCGAAGCTCTAAATCTTCTTGTTGCATTCACGACAAGGCTAAAAATACCTCCTATCTGAACCTGTGGCTTATTAGGGAGTTATATATAGCGCCGAGTTGGTATATTTGGCAACCATTAGTGCGTGAGAGGTACCCCCAGATGAATCTGTTTAAAACATCACAAGCACAGGCAAGTCCAAGGTCATAGGAGCCAGACCTTAGCCACGTTCGAGATTCAGTTCTATATATACGTAATTGTTTGCAGAGAACTAACAACGCATGGGGTTCTTGTAATGCGAGGGCTTTTGCTTGATGCCTAATGGTAAATCTTGATAAAATAGTCTATTAAGTACACGTTTGTACCAAGCACGTGTTACGTGTTACTTCAACACAATAAGAGAAATCAAGGCATGTCGACAAATCAGAAACTGCTTGTTGCAGTTGCCTAATTTTCTAACACTCAGGTCTAACAACCTACACTTTACTACTGTAAAGTTGTTCATTTTTTGCCGGGTGAACTGTTCAAGGAGGTTTGAAGTTTGTACTTAAAACATTTCTGTAGTACAGAAGTGATACAATTGAAAACAGAAACTCACTGTCGTACTCAAAGAATTGCAACTTTGGAATTGTCATCGAAAAAAAAAAAACTACCACAGATATTTTAAGATTTACAGCTAAAACATATACATTGTACTGCTACATTGCATGTATTTAACTTGTCACACATTGTATAATGAGCACAGGTTTTTTCAGACCACAATTTTCCATTATTTTTTTCTTGGAATTGCTCGCACAATGGCTCATTTTGGATCCTTCAATCATTAGGCACAGGCACATGTCTGCTCGTGTGTAAGTAAAATGGCCACCCTTGTGTCTAACTTGACGTGCCCTGTGTACGTTATGTAAGACTGTTTTAATGAAAAGACTCGACATGGCTCACCTAGGGTAAATTACTGACTATTTTTAACCCAGACAAGCTGTAAGTGTAACCTTGTGAGTTCAGCTCTGTGAGTGCTCGAGCTTGGAGGTTACTACCGAACTTCAAACGTTCTTCTA